ATGAAAACTAATGACAGAAATTAACGTTAATTTCCCCTCATAATAGTATAAGGCTGCTTGCTCAGATCCTGAATTCCCTTGCATCTGTATTCACCCTAGGGGGAGCTGTCAAGTTGGCTCCAACAAGACTGGGCTCACACATTCCACTCCCTCATACCTGTTGGGTTGTCACAACCCCCACAGAGTGAGAAGTGGCTGACAAGAACATTCCTGCATACATTCTGCTCATAAACCCATCCTTTCCTTCTTCCTCTCTCCTCTTGCCCCTTTGTCTCATGACCCAGATCTTATAATTCCACACAGACTACTTTTATGCAATAAACATTGTTTAATGTCAACGCAAGTGCTGTTCATGTTCATGTTTGGTCTCATTCGAATGATCTCAATGCAGCACAGTCTTAAAACAGTATCTTATGTCATTACAATGTTATAGAAAGACAGGAAACTCTTGATTTGTGAGAGTGCTTGGTCCTCTGGATGTACAAAGAAACTTAACTCCTATTTAAAATTCCAGCTGACCGGCACTCTTTTCTTTTGGCTGTTTATTGATCCTTGTATTTATTGTTTATTGATTACCTCGCATTATGGAAATAGCAGCTTGTATATCTGAACATTGATTTTTTTTTTCTTCTACCCAGTTCAATGGCAATATCTTTCAATTTGTCTGGTATTTACAGAAGGGTCACTCTGCAGTAAAAGCACCTGCATGGTTATTGACATCTGGCTCTTTGTATCATTTCACATATATCTGCATTATGTAGCTAAGTGGCCATTTTAGACTGATCACTGTACCTTAATTTGAATTGTAATTGATGTGTAATATTCTCACTGAGAAAAATGTTTTGATTAATTCTTGTGTGTCTGCTATTTCTAGTAAATTACTAGGTAGTGATCTTCCTTGCAATCCCTGGCTCCCTGAACCAAAATCAAACTGTATTCATGACAGCTCATTGAATATTGCTTAGGTTTGCTAGAAGTGAATCCAGTGCAATGCCTGATTCCAGAATGAGTAAAGTAAAAGTAAGTGAAATCTAGGAATAATCAGAATACTCTAGAACAGTTCATAAATTAAAACAAGGTGGAGTCATATTTAACGTGGTGCAGATTGGATTATGGAAAATTCTAGAAATTCAATGTGAGTACTATTCTTCAGAAGCATGAGGAAAGACCTATATGCATGCATTGTGTTCAGCTGGCCAGTCAGATTCCATCATTGAGCATTGAAATGATGTTTCTACTATACTACACATATTAAACAGCCCCCCCCCCCCCTCAAATATATATTAAAAAAAACTGGTAAATTGCCTTCATAGTTAATGATATATGTCGGGCAGGCTGCAGACAGACTGGAGTCTTGCAGTCAGCTGGTAGACACCATCTGTCTCTGTGTAGGTCCCTCGGGTGCATGATTGTCCTCATGGTCCTTCTTCCTTTACCCCTCCTAGTGACCATGTCTTATATTAAAGCCACATTACATTAAACAAACAAATACATGCAGCAAACGAGTGACAGGTGCCTGCCTTTGGCTGCAATGGACATCTGTTTTATTTTCCATTATGGTATAAAAGTGAAACACAACAGAGAATAGGATCATCTGCATCTGTGTAAGTCCATTTTTAGCCTCTGTATCCTGTTCAGAACACTTTTTAAGATCGGCACAAAGTCAAACCACTATCCTAATCCACTATCATTGTAGCATAGTCTCCAAACTAGTCTTTTCCCACACTAATCACAGGGCTTTATCACATGGCGCCGTTTAATTACACATTTTGAATTATAGCGTTCATTGTTTCCCCTCAATGTGGCGACTGTTCAGTAGTTTATGGCAATCACAGGCCTAAGATTATAACACCAATGAGCTTCATGGAAGAAGTCAAATTCAAAACATGGTGCCAGGACATCAATGGCTGTATGTTTATGAACGATGTAGTATTCCCATGTTTCCCTGGACTTTTATATTCAAGTTCACAGAGTATCCCCATTGGTGTTAATCAAGGTTTATCACCACGGGGTTACCCAGCCTGGAGTGGTCTGATTACCATTGTGGCTAATTAGCAATGTCCCTAGCCTCATTAGGTGGTCTTTTTCTATATCCTTGTTTTTGGGGCTGATTCAACTAATGTGATCAAACAAGAGGCAGAGGTCAGAATATGCAATGTCACGTTTCCATGGTGATTTGATCACCAGACATATGCCAATAGGAACTTTAAGTAATCAAGCTGAGCTAGCTCTGAAAAGACTGATTACCTTGCAAGGGTTAAGTAGGGCCAGCTGGGTGGGTAACAGGATAATAACTTCCAATCATCAGTTGGGGCCTGTATCACAAAGCTGGGACCTGTAACATGAAGCTGGTTCAACAAAGTCAGGCTTCGAAGTATGTTCAAACTTGACTAAACCAAACAAATGCAATCTGAGATAATCGGTATCACTATGCTGACTATCAACAATCAATGTCAAGCCAGGTTTTCTTATTGAAACCAAGATTTCTTCCTGAGCACATGCATATAAAAGCAATGATCGCAACAGGGCTATGTATGTCAATGCAGCAGAACAAAGAATTATTGTGGTAAAATATGAAGAACTCAAAAGTACAGTAATTGTGAAGAGCAACACTGTGGCTACTAGCAAAGGTAGAAAGGCATGCTGGCATCAGACACTGACAGCATAAATGCATACATACAGTGTGACTGTCATTAAAAAAATGTCAGTAATTTCCAGACGTGCTTGTGGTTTTTATTAATATTCTTAGTCTTTTTATTCATATTCATAATCCCTTTTTATTATTTAGTATTAAATTAACTTGTCACGCTTCCAAACCTATTCAATATTCCTTTATCCATCACACACACACACACACACACAAAGCATAGCTATGTGGCCAATGAAGACAACAAAAGTGTTGACAGTTTTTAGAGAAAACCATGTATACAATTCAAAGTGAAAAGGTATAGAATAAATGGAATAATAACCATACAACTAACTGAGACAAACACATTTGTGTTCAATAAAGTGTGGTTTAAGCAATGGACTATGGGGGATAATACACACCACATGATTTTCAGATTATGTATTTCTATACATCTTTATTAATAATTGCACTGTATCCATTCACCACCTGGATCATTTCCCCCCTTAGTCTCCTTTGCTCAAGGCTAAACAGATT